CGCTTGAGCGGACGCCGGAGCCCGATCTGGCAGCGCAGGTGGAGGTGCTCGTGCTGCCCTAGGCCGCGGGGCTCTCCTCCCTCCACAATCCTGTGCGTGGCGGCGGCCCCACGAGGCTGTCGGGGCCTTCGAGGTGGCACCGCGGGGGTTATTGACCTGTGTGACACAGCCCTGCTATTCTGTTGCTCTTGGACTTCAGTTTATTGTTGTCCGAAAGTTGAATTTCCAGATCTCTTACAGGGATGACTGCCCTGCAGAGCCCTCTCACCTCGGAAGTTCCAACTCTGAGGCTCTGTGTTCAGACTAGATGGCTTTGCTTTTGGATTTGATTCTGACCAGTCCAAGTAGTGCAGATGATCTGTCTGTACAAACCTTTGCTTTGCATGTACCTATCTCACAAGGGTTCTCTTCATGTTAGCTGGGAAACTGCACGTGTGCTTGTGTGCATTCGTGTACACAGTAAACTCTGACAACTGGATCAAGGCCATCGGATCGTTGCGTATTGATCCCCATAGGGACCTCCATGTGGCCGAGTTCTGAGCTGTGACCTTGGTGCTTATGCACATATTTGACTTCATGGTGTGTGTGAGCTGTCCCGCAAAAGCCAGGGGTCTGCTCGCATATGTGAAGTTAGGCATGTGCTAAAGTGTTTCGCCAGATTGGATCCTTCGTCTGTAGGGACTGTGGGTGAACTTGAACCTGTTTTGCTGGGGTAAGAGGCTTTAGATTTCATTATTAAGAATCTGATATGTCACGCTGTCTGAATGCAAGGCCTCGGAGTTATCTGAAATTCTCATCAGGACAAGAAGCTAGGAAAAATACAAATTCCTATTGCTAAAAATGCTATAATTAAATAATATAAATCTTAAAACCAGTAAAGTGCAAGGAGAAAGTGTGATAGAGGTATAAGTACTCTCTTCTTAGAATATTGAAGCTACTTAGAGCACTTTCTCTGCAGATCTTGAACAGAATATTTTGAGTAGTTTATGTAGCCAATGTAAAAAAAAAGTATATTGCATTTACCCTAGTGCTGATTCATAAGCTGTGACACTTAATAAAGTGTCATGATGAACACAGTGGGGCTGTTGCTTTCAGAAAAAGCAAGGAAAACAAGAAAGCAAGCAAGAACAGGAACTGCAGAATGAACAAACAAGTTCTTTCACAATGTATTTCTCAACTGAGCTTATATCTTCATAGGCTTATGTTATTCAGGTTCTTTATGCACCATATCTGGCACCAGTCCTGTAAATGAGGTTTTGAAAAATGGAGCTAGCGCTGTCTGTGTAAAAAGCATAGGCCTATGCTGGACATATTTTTTCCCAGAATATATTTCTGAGTAAAATACTGTTCACAGAAAAAAATCCATTATTGATCTTTTGTCTACTACTTAGAAGAGAGTCTTGTTTTACAAACTGGTATTATAACAAACAGACAGGGACTCTGTTTTGCTCAATGTGCTGAAAACAATAAAATATGTAATAAATGTCTAAGATAAATCTGTTTATATATAAATATATCAATATCTAAAATTCAGCCTTCACGTGCAATGCTTTTGTGAAATATTCAACACAGCACAAAGCTGGAGTGCCCACTTGTTTGCGTTACTCTCTGCAGTCAGTAGACCCGAGCCCACGTAACCCTGCTGACACTGTCTGGGTAGACAGATGCAGGCGAAAGCCACTGGGCTGGCGGAAATCTTTCTTACAGAGAGACGGAGCGAACGCCGCTCTAAACTGCTGCGCGCTCTGCTCTGCTCGCCTAATCCTGTTTTGGGAGGCTGTCTCTGCCAGTACGGATCTGCTGGTAGTGCTCACACACTGCTCACCTTCCCCTTTGGGTAAGGTCGCCCGCCAGGCTGTTTGCTGCTGGTAGTCCTTGGGATGGGGAACCCGTCCCCCTGGGAAGCAGGACAGGGGAGCGGGCAGGTCACCAGGCAGACGTCGCAGGATAAACATGTTAATCGAGCGGTGTTTGAATCTATAAGTGGAAGAATTCTTGTTCTGTCTGAGCCACAGAGGTGCACCTTACCCTTCCCTGAGGCTCTTTTAGAGGGGAAAAACAGCAGCTGAGCAGGGGAAGGTAATTGGAAACTAGCCACTAATAATTCTATGATTTGCTGAGCAGGGCAAAAAGGGTTTGGGAGGGAGAGACAGACGACTGTTTCTGAGATGCCACTGCCCCTGTTTCCTTCAGGAGTTGCATCGGCATTCTGTTTTAGTTTCCTCATCTCCTAAAAGTGAATAGTGCTGTTCCACCACTTGCCTCCTAAGTTTTAAATAACTGTACTTTGAGCTTTGAGCGTGGTAATGTGCTGTGCATGAATAAAACACTATTATGTGCAAGTGTCTAGAGTCTTCCTTTTGTCTAGAAAGCTCATACTGGCGACTTACTTGATCTCTGGGGTTACTCCTTGTTTCTAAATAATAGTCACCACGATCTGACACAGTTGAGTTGAGAGAAGTCCAACCATGTGCTAGGGCCGTGAATATTAAGCTACAACGGTATATTTGAAATCTCTCTTTCTCACTAATGAGAGGAAGCCTTGGACCTTGGATGCCATGAACAAAATCCCAAGGCAGGTAAATCCCACTCCTAGATTTTATGTCTTGGAGTTCAAGATGGGAAGTATCATTTTCAGGAGAGCTTAAGTACCTTTTTCAAAATTCAATTAAACTTCTAGAAATAGCCTTTATAAATTAAGACTCATAGATGGCTTAATCACTTTTGAAACTGTGTCCTTTTGAAAAATATATTCCCAGACAACACATCTGCATTTGAAGATACCTTCAAACATATATTGCAACGTTTATTGCACGACCACTCTTTGAATCGTATTTGCATTTTTTTTATCTAAAAAAATGTTTTCACGCATATAATTGTTCCAGAGATACTATTTGCTGTAATTATGCATAGACTTAAAAAAATCCTCTCTGTGGAGCCTAGCGTCAAGTTAGTGGGAGACTGACATCTCCTTCTGGATGCCGTTATTAGTCCCAGCCATGAATGGTGAAGAACTTGCTCCCCGTTGTATATTTGACAATGAAAGCCTTCTTAAATTCTTCCTCAGAGCCAAGTACAAGGCTGTCTTTTAATAAAAAAATGTGTTTTTACCCATGTCTATATTTACTTATTGCATGAATGCACATTAACAACCACCCACATCCTTCTTGTATACAAGGTTTATTTGCATTCGCAGCCTGTCCCAGTGCAAACAAGAGATGGGGGAAAAAATCCAACTTTGTCTGCACTGTTGGCTGCTTTATCCGTCTCTAGAGCTGCTTGGTGGTTATCTTGATCATTCGGTCAATTAAGATCTGTTATTATTACCTTTGCTAGAAATATGTACGCTGGAGATAAGAACAAAGCTATGTTGTTATTTCTGAAATCTGTATACCAAATGTTTGGGTCAAGAGGAAGAAAAGGATTGTTTTGATTTTGAATTACAAATACGTTTGCCCCTTACTCCCTGCTTTTTGGTTCTGTTGTCTACATGGGTCCCAAAGCAGGGTAGTACTTGAGCATGTGCTTAATTTTAAGCATGTGCTGAAATATTTGGGAGTTCAAGGGGATTGGGCATATGCTTAATGCTTTTTCTGAACAATGTTGCTTTTCAGGGTTGAAGCCTTTGTAGGAAACCTGATCCTTTAAACTAGCTTCTGTTTATGTACATTTCAATTTTATAATATTGTAAGTTTTTCCCTTCTTTCTTCAATATCCTTGATGCTACAGCATATAATGAAAACAATACTGGTCATGCCACTTGCAATTACTGAAGTAGGCAGTGAAATTATTTTTGCACAGGAACCAGGGAAATCACATAAATCACAGATTTACAAATGTTTTCCCAGGAGAGGTCCACAGTAGTTGGCTGCACAGAATGACAGAAGTGTTGTTTACCCATAAAAGGGTGGTCATCTCAGCAGGTCAGTGATGTTTTTCAAAGGCTTACTGTTGATTTTAAACTAGCTGGTAATTTATTCCCTGAACTCTGGCTTACACAAATAAAAGAGGGTAAATATTTATTACAATGTAGGCTGTGCTGCCACTCTGAATGCGCGGTGCCCCTCACACTAGATCCTCTCCACTGTTGGGTTGGACATTTCTTGCAGGGCATGATCTGACCCCCGCAATTATTTATGGGGTTCTTCAGATAAGCTCTTTTTTTTTTTTTTTCCCACAGGCAACACACACACACTCACAAGGGCTGTTATAATTTGATTTTATAGTGCGAGTTCAACTATCGCTTCCTCTGTTCCCACCCTGCCTTTTGGAAAGATACCCGGTCACACGATGTGCTTGTTAAAAGGTTGCTGATTGAGGAAGGATGCAGGAAGGATATGGTTTTGCAGTGATTGCATAAGTGCTCGGCAGGACCTGAAAGCCTAGGGTTTATCTGAGGACGAATTTAGATGTGAATTTCAAAGAATATATATTTTTTCCTGATTGTTGAGTAAGTCGTAACTCCTGAGCCTGCTTTAGAGAGAAGTGCAGCAACCTGTATTAAGCAACCTGTTTTCATTGTATGAACGTGGCCATGATGACTAATTTGTAATCATCACCTGAGATCATCTGCCTCCTTTCCATCAGAGATCTTAGCTTTACTTCAGAGAAATTGTCTCCAAGGCTTTTATTTGATACTGTCAGGTGTAATCATGTCTAATCAAATGCTGTTCCCATCAGTCTTTTGGAATTTTTACCATTTTCCTCAGCTGATTTAGGCTAAAGTAGAATTCCTTTTCAAAAACCCTACGTTCCCCCTCAGTGAAACCCTAATACCTAAAAAGCTTAAAAGTTCATGTCATCCATTACTATAATGAGAATATACTTATTACTGTACAATAAAGGAGCTGGGGCATTGAGGTTTGTATTTTAAAGCCTTGTTTTGGTCATTCCACATTCTGCCAACATCTAACATCTGTATTTGTTTTTTGAACTCTCCTTAATGGATTATATGCATCTGTTCAGTTCCAAGAGTAATGCTTGATTTCCTGAATTTATAGGTTGCAATAAAATCCATTCGTAAGGACAAAATTAAGGATGAACAAGACATGGTTCACATCAGACGGGAGATTGAGATCATGTCATCCCTCAACCACCCTCATATCATCACCATATATGAAGGTTAGTGAATGTGCTTCTTTTCCCCAACTGCTCTTTTATGTTCCTGCAGACCTAATGTTTGTATTTCTCGAGAACACACACCTAACTCACTCCTAGTGCAACCTATCTCTTAATAAAGCAATTGTTTTGAGCACTACCTTCCTTTTGAGCCATAATGTTTCACAATCGCATAGCTCTTGCCAGCAGGAACTTGTTTATAAGTAAGTGACTTAACCTGCTGAAAAGCTCAATTGAATTTCACCCTCACTCAGACACCAACCTGATGTCAGCTTGTATTCCCCAACCCCCAAACCAATTCATGGTTGGGAAGTGGCATGGCAGTGAAGCTGCCATGGGACACGGCAGTGAAGCTGGTAATTCCTGGCTCCACAGCTGCTCTGTAGAGAAGAGCAGCAAGCCAGAGACATTCCTTATTTATTTGCTTGTTTGTTTGTTTATGTATTTATAGAATATTGCCATGTAGTAAAATCTCCTCCTCCCCCTTCCTTCCTTCCTTAAGTCTGTAACACCCCAACAAGAGCTAAATAGTTTGGGCCGGGTACGTGCTAAAACATGCTGGCCAAGAGGTCTGCTCCCCGGGCCCAGCTAGGTTCTCGGTTGAACAGAGGACACCAGGTGTGAATTCCAGAGACCCTGAAGGATGGGACGGCTTCGTCTCAGGGGATCATTTCCTTCCTTAGAGGTGGAAGAGGCAGCCTGCATTTAGTCCCTCATATTTACATCCCCATAAGGTAAATGCACAAGGTGATGATATGTGTATGGCAGCCCCATTCCGAGAGTTGATACGACTGATTAAAACAAGGACTGGCTTGGAATACTGTTACAGAATCACATATTGAGTTATTCAAAAGCATGTTCTTTTACTTGAAAAGAGATGAATATCTGTCTTTTTATTGAATAAACTCAAAACAGGATCTGGGAACAGAAAAGGGGAGGGATGCTGTGTCAGCATGTGGGTTGCAAATGGAACAAAAGTTATTTCAAATGTGCACGGGAACTCAGAAAGAAAAAAGATGAAGCATGCTGCAGAGCTTTGACCAATTGCCCTTCTCATCCTTACTTTAAATAGTTTTTCCTGAGTTAAAAAGATTACAGCATTTTTAAGAAGCAGCCAGTGAAACCCTGTGGGAGCAAAACTTTCCCCTCCAGCCTTGCAGAGGGAGGCGCGTTGCTGCCGCAGCCCAACCAGGCAAGTTTTGCAATGAAGGCCTCATGCAGTCTCCAGGAGGGCAAGTGCAGATGGCAAGTGACATTGTTTCCTCCCACGAACTTGAGCGGCTTAGTGCTTTTGTGATCCATTAGCCAGAAGCAGCACTTTGCAGTGGCAGACCTGGAGGCAGCTTTGCTCTCATTTCTGGGAAGCTTTTTGTTCTGTTTTGTTTCTGGTTTGTTTTCTCTTAGAAAGATCTCTGAGGAAAAAGCTATTCTCTTACTGTAACTCTATAGTTATCTAGAAAGCACAGCAGCCTTTCATGGCTCCTTATGTTTAATTCATGGCCTGAAGGGATGAGCAGCAGAAGTCAGATTGTTGGCTTGACAGTAGTTCAATGGAAGAAGAAATTATGTACAACGGAGGCAGAGCTGCTATGTACTTTTCCAAGCAGTCGGAATTGATGTTCTGCCTTTAGCAGCCAGCATTGTCGTATATATATTGTAGTCCGGAAAAGATGTGTGGATGCACAGCCAAACCCAGAGGTGCAGAAATGCTGCCCAGAGATGAGGATGTAAGTTCAGTGGCCCTTAAGCATGTGCTTCGTTTCAAATCTAAGAGTACTTGTAGTGAAGTCCTGGAACTACACCTAGGACTGAAATATTTGTATCCTGTTGCAACTGTATTTTGAATGTGTGGCTGTTCCTCTGGAATGATGCATAAAAATGATAATGCTGCTCTCCTCTGGCACTAAATATTGAAGTTATTCAGTCCTCAGGGGTGGGCTTCATCTCACCAGATTTAAGTCATCCGACATGCAGGCAGCTCACGTACACTACAGGTCTTAGCTTCCCTCTGGAGGCAGAGATCAGCTTCCCCACAAGGTGGTTGCTCCGGCCTGGGACAGACTCTTCAGATAGGTGGGAGGAATGACGTGCTGGACTTGCTTCTCTCTCTGTTGCCTACAGATGGAGTTTAGCTGCCTAACTTAGATCAGATGCTTAACTTTTACACTGCAGTAGCCCCACAGAGATTTTTATCATCTCTCACTATTTTTAACATGGGTTTTCAGACTGCCATTACACTCCTGACAGCGTAGGTGCTGTGTGTGCCTGGTTGCCCTGAGTCTAGCGTGGACAGTGCTTCATCTCTCTCGATTACCTTTGTAAGCTCTTTGTATTGCATTTACAAACGCGTTTTCCTAAGTGGGATCCTTGTTTAGGTATCCTTTTGACCTGCCTGGTTAAAGGCAATTAACCTCTGAATTTGTCAACTTGACGTAAACAAAAGCTTTTTTTTTTTTTTTTTGATACTGCGCAAATCCAAATATATGGATACAAAGCTTCCCAGTTTAATGGTATTTTTTTGTAACCCGACCAAAAGGAAGCTATTTTGCCCATTACTGTGAAGGCAGACATGCCATTCTGAGCCCAAGGGAATTCCATCCCAGCAGGGCTGTAATTGGCAATCTGTCGAGTGTGGCTGCCAGGGAAGTGCTCTTTCAAGTGACTTTAAATTCCTTGAAAGGAATTGGGTAAATGAAGCTGGCTTTCTTAGAGTTCCTCTGATTCCAGGGCATAAATTTGAATTTATAGAATAATGCCTCTGTCCATTTGTCTGTCCATCTGCTTTCCCCACTTCTCCCAACCCTACTTCTTTTTACCTCCAAAAACTCCAGGATTTGGCGTTAAAGCCTTTGAGAGCTAACGTATTTTTCCAGGGGTAGCCTGAGTGCAAAATCTTTCCCATCTGGCAATACTTTACAAAAGTTAAACCAGGGGAAGAGCATAGGGCCTGATCCTGAAAACACTTGAACATGTGTTGGACCAATCATGAGCGTAAAGTTATGCTTGGGACATTTGGGGGTGAGCTTTCGTGTCTTTGTAGTATGAAATACAGTGCCTCCATGAGAGTTTCTGTGCACAGGGAGACCTAGGCTGGCCTTTTGCAGCATAACTATACTGAAAAGTCCATCTATTTGCAAAATACGCTTACAGAATAAACAGATTTTTTTGCTAACAGGTTTGTAGAAGTAGTTTAATGAAGATATTCTCTGATGAATGCATAAATATTAGGATCACAATTCAGTGCCCATGGAAGGTGATGGCATTAATAGGAACAAGTGACTAAAGGAAAGCACGTGCCTAAGTGCTTTGCTGGATCGGGGCCAGGCTGCTCAGCACTCTGCTGGACTTTTTACAACAGCAAAGCTATTTTTGTAGGTTGCACTTTTGGAATTTATAGGAAGAATAAATAAAGAAAAAGAACACAAAGATTCTCCATCATATATCTGTAAGTACAGAGTGGCTTGAGCTAGTTTGCATGTTTGGATTAATCAGGAATGCAGTTCAGCTCTTGTACTTTTGAAATCCAAAGAGAATCAAAGAAAATCTGACCGTATATAACAGTGGATGTGTAGCATTACCCAGTACTACCTTTACTTGCAAACTACATGTTCTCCCTTACATTCCATAACAGACTTTTGTGCAACAAGACGAAAATCACCGTTTAGCGTTTCAGACGCATGCAGGCCTGTCTTCCATGTGGAGCTGTCTGAGTTCTGTCAGCCAAGTGACCGCGCCGGGAGCGACCGCGGCCGCGGTGCAAAAACGGTGTCCGAGTTCCCGGGTGGCACCGGGCGAGGGGCCACAGCCTCCCCACGGCGACACAAGCACCGGCGCGTCGCCGGCCTCGGGTGAGGCCGGGCAGCTCGAGGCTGAGCCTCTGCTTCACTCACTCTGCAGGTTTTTGTTGAGGATAACGGCCTGGGTAAGCGCAGCGCTTGGGTTATACACCTCAGGTTAACAATACTGGGGAGGCAGTGCCAGCTTCTGCTATCTCGTAGTTTTCAGACGTAATCAAAACAAAGTCTAGTGCGTAATTGCGTGATCCCTTCTGTGTGCAAAACACCTGAAAAGGTCACTAAAAATCCCTCACAGCGTCACATGAAGGACCGGGCTTTTAGCAAGAATGATGAAAGTTGGAAGCTGCAGTGACTTTTGACTGTTAGCCAAGAGAAAGTATTTCAGCAATGACACTATTTAGTCCCATTTCTAATTGGCTTCCTCTAATTATGTAGGTTTTTGACCTTAGAGTGTGTTAGTTCCATTGTTTTCAATTGATAACAAGAACATAAAGCAGTGCTTCTAGACTCCGCTGGTAGCAGTGAAACAAGTACAAACAAACTTAACTCTTCAGTTATCATGCGCTGCCTTTATGAAATTGCTTTCATTCGGGATGACCCCCTAAGCCATGCTTCTTCTGACAGGATGTGAACCCAAAGGTGTGAGGGCATTGGCAAGTTCAAATCAGATGTCTAAATGATTCCCAGCAATGATAAAATTTATTTCCATCCCTTCACTTAAACAGGCCTCCCGCTACAATGTAAATGTTTGTCTGAGGTTCCTCAGCAGTTTGTATTCATAATTAAAAATAAAAGGGGAATTTGCTCTTGTATTCTTTGCTGAAACAAAAGGCAATTAGTATAACATGTAGTATTGTGGCTGAATTAGCAAGTCTCATTTTTGCTTCTTTTTTAAATAGTAGGCCATCGTAATCTGTGTATCCTCAGTCTCGTTCTCCGAGAAGCAAAATCAGCAAGGATAATGGTTCTCGTTTTGATTTAATCCCCTCCCTGGGGATTAATTCTAGCATGCTGTCTGATTTAAAATGATTATTGCAGGATCTTAGCTACATTCCTTTAATTTAAGAGAACTGAATAGGGCCATCATTCAAGAAAGCAATTTAGCACATGTTTAACTTTAAAGCATATACTTTGTAGCTCTCTTTAACGTTGATTATAATTAAGCATATGCATAAATTTGAGCATATGCACCCAAGTGGTTTACTA